CAAAATATCAATCAAATAAACACATGCTGACTAGGAAGGAACTCAAAATGACCACGGCGAAACATAAAATGATTACAAAGAGACACAAAAAGACCACAAAGAGACAAAGAGAGGTTGCAAAAATACTGCAAAGAGACACAAAGAGACTCACAATAACTACAGAAAGGGGCAAGCAAGCAAAAAGAGACACAAAATGATGACAAAGCAACACAAAGTAACTATAAAGAGATACAAAATGAGTATTAAGAGATGTAAAGCAACTACAAAAAGGGGCAAAAATCAACCACAGACACAAAAAGCCCTGCAAAGAGAAAAAAAATGACCACAATGAGACATAAAACCACAGAGAGATGCATAACAACTACAAAGAGACTAAATAACAACAACAACAACAACAAGTGGCTTAACAACCATAAAGTCTGTGTTTCTTGTTTCTATGTACAGTAGAAGAGGTGGTGGGGCTTTTTGCATGACTGTGCCCAGGGGCCCATTGTCTCATAATCCGCCCATGGTGATTGCTTACAAGTACGTACATGCAGGTCAAAGTTGTTTGAGTTACAAGAAAATTACTTCTTAGATTCCTGTCTCAAAAACTGTTCAGTACAAAAGTAGAACAATCATGTGTAAAAAATAATTAACCTCAACTAGTCATATTTCTTAGAACCTTTATTTATTCAGGGCAGTTGCACAGCTCTCTTACAGGAACACCCTGTTCACACCCACACAGTTTAACACATTCACACCTGAAAACTTGCCAGTACAACAAAACTACAATATATTCTGTAAAGGATAGGGTGTAGATCCAGTGCCATCTAGCACATTCGGCACCCTACACTAAAGGGAGATGCCAACCAAATTTGAGGAAGGCCTTACCGGAAACAACTAAGCATTCAATTGCAATACAAAAGAAAACACCCCAATGATATTTATATTGTATTTATATCTGTAAAAAAATGTTTTGCAATTTGAAAACTGAATATTGCTGGACATGATACGCTTGTAGAAGACATTTTTAGTGATAGTTGCAAGTGACAAATAATTTTTTGAAGATTTTAAAGAGGTCTTGGTTTGGCTCATTATACATGCAGAAAGCAAACACAAGGCTCCTGGGTGAAAATCTGGGGTTTGTTAAACCTATCCACCATCTCTCCCAACCGTCTGATAGGGATTTTCCAACTCCTGAAGTTTTGTTGTTTTCCAGTGTTCCAAACTAACGCCATTTAGTAGCGTGTCATACCACAGCAAAAAGATGGCTTTTCTCATCAGTGTCTGACACAGAAATCACTGACCAAGCTTTGGTATTTGACAACTTCAGAATGACAATGAGTTGGATATAAAACTACTGGCACATTGTGGAAAAGTTGCATTTTGTCTTGGAATATTTTCTCTCTCTTTTGAGTCTACAGGTTCAAGACTCAGATTGGTAAACCACTTACTTACACATTCCTTACACAGCAATCACTACTTCCCTGTTTATGTGATTGTTAAGGAATTTTCCATTGTAAATCTGATAATGTTGAGGTAGTGTCAGAGTTCCAAAGAGCTCTGTAGTCACGCCTTTGAGCTTCTGCTGGAATAAGTAATTGAGAGACAGCTTATCTGATCAGGATGAAACACCTCATGGTTCACAAGTAGGCTATCATATTCTTCCATCGGTCTGTGAGTGTTTTTATCATTCCAGCCTGCTGCCGGAACAAATACCTTGTTAACACATGATTTCATTTTTAGACGGAGGTAAACCACTGTACTTTCAGTGCTGAAATAAAAACCAAGCAACTTAACTAAACTAAAAACAGGTAGTTTGAAGGTTTGATTGAGCTATCAATTACCATCTCATTCCAGACAGATGATTACGTCCTTATCATAAAAGTTGGAAAACATTCTTTGGAATTTCATCATATCCAACCAAGTTAATGCTCTGATACAACTTTTCCTACATTGGATTAGATCTGATGATCTCCTAAAAGCTAAATTAACATCAGACTGGCGACAAGACAAGTTGAAACAGGCAACTACTTGCATTGCGTCATTCTGCAATGTTCTAAAAACCTGCCAGTTCACACCAATGCAACTAGATGAGACGGTGTATCATCTCTACACAACAACTCTCTGTACTTCTGTTTTGAGTACCAGCTTTTCAGGCTTATTTTGGGCTGAACATAATTTGTAACCTTTCGATATATGAATGAGGATAGTGATGGTGAGACACTGGCTACATTTGCATTTGTAGTCTGGGGTCATTTGACTTGACCAGTTGACTTCACTACAAGTCGATTGGCTTTAGAAACAGGTGATTAGCCTTTTGTTCTAAAACCGGCCGCTGACTATTTGACCAGCTGAGTTGGAGCTGGTCAAAATCACCATCAGCCAACTTGAGTGGAGCTCAGATTGGCAATTTCGCACTGCTGCAGCTTTTCTCTGCAAAGTTCTAAAATGGTTTCATCTTGATATGAAACTTTGTTCTGAGCTGGGCTTTAGCCTCACTTTGTCTTTCAAAGACTAATAAGGGATAGAGCTTTTTATAAACATTTATATGATGTTGTAAAGTAAAATCTAAATTTTTCTGTTTTATAAAAAAAAAGTATTCTCTGGATCAAGTCTTTATTCTACAGAGCTATGTTGTCTGAAAAGAGGTCCTGGTTTGGATTTATTGTTTCTAACAAGTTACACCAGAGATACCATTGGTTACCTGTCAGCAGGTCAGAACCTCTGCAACGGTCCACAAAATAAATCTGAGAGGTCATAGGCATGTCCACTGAGGCCTGGGGCAGACCCAGAACACACTGGAAGGATTACATATCTCACCTGGCCTGGGAACGCCTAAGGGGAGCTGGAAAGCGTTGCTGTGGGGTGCAGCTGCTCCACACATATCTGATGTTCAGTGGATGTTTAAGTTATTAACTAAGTTATTTTTCCATTATACTGTGCCACATTTTGCTAACTGATTCACCAACTTCTCCAACGACAGGATCATACTCCCCAGAGGGTGATTTCTAAATATTCAGGTGCACCCCCTGACTTTTTAATCTAATGCCACTGAAATCATTAAACATCCTCTTGGTCTACACTTTTGACAAGATAGTAAAAAATAAATAAATAAAAATAACCAGACTCTAATAATATTTCTTGATAATTATGGTCTTTAAAGGATGAATTCCTGTATTTTGGCTTTTCTTTTTTTTCTTATTTTGTTTTTAGCTTTTATCTAGTGCAGAAGAAGAAATAATACAATCTCATGTCTTGTGAATGTGCAAAGTCATGCTCCCCAGAGTATGAAGGTTTGAGCTTTGAACTCTATCTGTTTCAATTTTAGATCCTACAACTGAGACAACAGCAAAATCACAGTGTGTGACCTTTTCTACCCATCACTTTTATAATATGGGGAGTAATGAACAATGCAGTCTCTAGGAGGAGTTAGGCTCTAACTTTAAGTGTTAAGTGTTCCCAGTTGGGTGTTCCAAGTTGGGATTCCTAAACTAATTATAAATGTCCTAATCACTCGTGCTGGCGTAATTAGCACAGGCACACATCTGACCAATTATCAAACCAAACTACGTTTGTTAAATGTGTGTTACGTAAGAATGCACATTACATAAGAATAATAATAGAAAGAATACCTGAATACGGTCATTCACTGTTTTTTCGTACACATGCTAAAAATTCAACCCTTAAGTTCCCCTCTCACTCCAAACCTGAAAACACACCCCCAAACCCAAACAAATGGCCCACACAGAAAGTTGCATCCTGTGCAGTCCAAGCAGCGTGGCTGAAATATGAAGCTAAAAACTGCAGTTCCTCTAATGGCCACTTGATGCTGGCTCCAAGAGTGAGTATATCCCCATAGACCCTGTATGTCAAAATGCCAAAATTTACAGTAGAAATAAACATGTTTACAGCTTGGCATTCGTAACTGTATGGGGGTGAATTTTTATATACTCCAACAATTAAATGTCATAATAGTTAAGGGCATGATTGCTTCAAGTGACAGGTTGTCTGCAGGGCGTCACCACAGTCTGTGCGTCAGATTCATCTCTTGCTCCTCCACAGTTCCACCCTCTCATCCAAATATGGTCACTTCTGGCTCTGTAAAAAACAAGATGGCAACGGCCAAAATACGAGTTGACAAACCAATGTTTAATGTCACCGTGGCCATTGTTTTACTTGTACATGCACTCCTACGCTATTATCTTATTAGTCTATTATTAGTCTATGATGTAGTTCCCTCCACTAATAGTAGAACTAAGTACATTTACTCAAGTACTGTCCCTTGTCAGTATAGTATTTTCTGCTGCTTTATACTTCAACCCCACTTATCGCAATCTCTAGTGATGTACTTTTTACATCACTACATGTATTTGCCAACCTTAGTTATTTTGTAGATTCAGATTAACAACACAAATAAAATACAACAACATAAATAAATCTTAATGTAATAATATAGACTTATATAATTAGATTGTATGGTGGTCACAAGCCAACCATCAGATAAAGTATAATGTTGTTACAATCATCTCCACCTTTACTAGCTTCAACATAAAGTGATGTACATATTAATAATAATTAAAATCCAATAATATAATTAAATTACTCTGAAAAGGGTCACTCTGCCTAAGGAGTACTTCAATAGTGTATTCTTACAGCTTGGTATTGCTACTTCACTTCTTGTTTAGTGTTTCCTCCACCACTGCTCCCAACACACAACAGATACAAAAACAACACATTTACTGCCCACGTGTGACTGCTGTAAGTTCAGTTTAATTGCCTTTGCTATTGTTGTATTAATTACTACTCATTGAAACTATGTGCCAATGTGCGTGAAACCTTAATTGAACCACACTGTACTGTACAGCATGTTTCGTGTGCTTGGCTCACCTGCAGCTGCATACTGTATCTAGGGGGTGTGGCTTTTAGATGAGGGTTCAGCTAGATCAGGTACTTTACAGATGTTAGGAGTGCCTCAGGTGCTTAAATACTGGCAGTAAACCAGAAGCATCCATTTGCAGTAACAGACAGGCAAGAAGGAAGGATGGAGGAAGAACGGGATGTGCCTAAGTAAGTACAAATATATATTTCAGTAGTAGAAGTTAATTTCCAGTTACCAAACTGTTTTGATTAAATTAGAAATGATGTGAACATAATACAATCTATCTATCTTCTTTAATTTAAAAAATATAACTATAATAATTTATAACTACTTTACCCTTAGACGCATGACCTACCAATACCTACACTCTTCCATAAGTGGGGTCAAAAATGACCCCAATTAGAATCAATGCGTTTTATGTGATAAACTTAAGCAATTTCTTTCATTTTGCTTAAAGATGATGATTTGTATTATATTTTGGTCAACAAAAGAATGATTTCATGTTTGACATGTTCATTTATCACTTTTTATTAACATTTTGACATCACTGAATAATCAATAATAGTATAATAGGCTACCTAACGGGTTTGATTTTATTACAAGGAAATTATATCATAGTAAGTCTGCTTATCTCTACACAACAAATGCAGTAATGAACTACACACACACACACACACACACACACACACACACACACACACACGACATCATTGAATAATCAATAATAGTATAATAGGCTACCTAACGGGTTTGATTTTATTACAAGGAAATTATATCATAGTAAGTCTGCTTATCTCTACACGACAAATGCAGTAATGAACTACACACACACACACACACACGTGTCAAAAACATGTTTTATGAGGAATACCTGGAATATGAAATGATAAAAACTTTTAATTCCATAGATATTGAAGAAAAACAACCCCTGGGGTCATTTTTGACCCCACTTATGCATCTAAGGGTTAACATTTATTACTTTTATCATATATATATATATATATATATATATATATATATGTGACATTTTGGTGTCTTTATTTAGGAGGCCATGGGATACCTGTCGAGAGGTTCCCATCATTGAAGATGAGCAGACGCCATGGAAGATGATCAAACTACTAAAGATCATCACTCTGTGTATCGTCACTGTGTTTGTGTTTGGATTAGCGCTATGTAGCAAGGTTTGTTATTGCTTTATTATCATTATTAATATTTTTTAAATAGAATTTAAATTTGTGATGTTTTGCATAGAGAAGAGCGTAGACAGAAAAAAACAACAACTCCTGAGTAAATTCTTGACCCCAAAGAAATTTTGGTACATTAAGGACACAAAACTCAGAACCCAACAAGAACAAAAACCTTGAAAATGAAGGAGCATTGATTAATAATGACTACATGACTGATCCCTCTTCAAAAACGGTTTCAGTTTGAGTATAAAAAGAAAAAAAATAAAGTCAGACTGTATGGAGTAGCTGCCCTTATATCACTGTATTAACTAACTAATTAAATAATTATCGCTTTTTTCACTCTGCTGCAGGCTTCATTCCTCCTCCTCATCACCTTGTCCAATGAAGGCACAAAAACCCTCCCAGATGAAATGAGACCTGTCGCTTTGCTTTGCATTGGCTGCATTCTCATCATTTCCAGTGTCTTCTTATTACTCAAAAGCTTATGGAAGGCATGCTACAAAACATCAAAGCTACCAAGAAAATCAACTATTGCCCTGGTAAGACAATGGTTGACATTTCCAAACTACTTTTCATCTTTGACTGATGCCAAAAACAGAGTCTGGAAGGCATTCTTACTCTTTTGTTAACATTGTTGTTAAATTTAATCATCTTGTGCTTCTTCTTCAGGTTCTGTTCTTCGAGTTTGTGGTGGCTATGGGAGCAGCGATCCTCACCATTGTGGCAATGCCACACTTGGACATTGTGACAAACGTGACAATACTGAACGGTATAGCTGTTGTCTCTGCGCTCCTACAGGTGATCTGTCAATGCACCGCCCAAGAAAGGAACCGCTTCCTGGTGCCATCCATCACCGCCTTCCTCCTCCTTTTGCTCGGTTATGTCCTGTTCCTCTTCTTATACATCACAAAGGACCCCACTGATGTCAAGATGGCCATTTGGGTGGGTCTGGCTGTTGGCGGGTGCTTCTTGGTTTCTTTTAACTGGTGGGAGAGCTACTTCCGACTGATCAGCGAGAACAGCAGAAACGTCATTCTCAAGAACCTGTGTAAAGACATAAAAAAGTGCCAGAACTTGCTGAACATTCTCTCCAGCCTGCTCAGGATCGCAGTGACGGCCGGTGTGCTCGGAGCTTACGTCCATCTGGACAAAATGGACTGGGCCATTGTGACCTCCATTCCAAGCCGTGAGACCAGAATTATAGCCATTATCATTGGGGTCCAGCTGATCTCTTCTGCACTCTGCCACTGGTTCTCTTTGGCAGCCTGCAAGATGCATGCCCTGCGACGATCCTTCATTCTACCTTTGTACCTGGCTTCTCTGGCCGTCATGGTTCTGTTCATCGTCCCCATTATTGTTTACTATCAAGACTACAAATTAAGTCTGAATGGGACTTCAGTCAACTTCACAGGCTACTGCAATGAAGTTGTAGATGGAAGAAACCTAAGCTTGAACGGCAGTGTGTTCCCTGAGCTGGTTTTGGATGCTACACACACCCTGTGCTTCCTGGACATGTCTAGGATAACTGACATTGGCTTACTGACAGGTAATAAAGTAGAGCCTGATATAAGTTACAATGCATGTTGGCATATATTACACTCAAAAATAAGGTTTTTGTAGGTCCTTGGGGCTGTGACGTATTTGTCATAAGGTATTACCAATTGACCTTGTGTTGCTATTCTAGTATTTAATTTGTACTTTAATACACTAAAAACTTCAACATATGGTAGAGACTGAGGTCCTTTGCAGTATCCAAAGCTCATCTAATGTGTTTGCAATCTTTCTTCAGGTTCAGCAGTGTCCTGGTGGCTTGGTCTTGTGTTGGCAACCCTCCATCTGTGGTACCTCAACGTGTATCGTATCCAGAGGACCCAAGACCTTTTCATGAGGAGGCTGTATGAGGGAGCCTTCATTGAGCAGTCCCTGCTCCTCAACACCCGATTTGACATCCAGACCAAATCCAGGACAAAGACGTAAGTGTGTGTTGGAGTAGTTCTGAATTTTGTTCCTCACAAGAATCATTGAAAGCAAAGTTGTTTGTTCTTCAAGGTGTATATAGACTCTAGTTGAAATTTTGGGCTGATTAGTTTAGGCTACAAAGTTGGAATTACACGGTCTCTTCTCCAAACAAGATGTGTTTCTTAAATCTGCAAATCTTGTCATGTTAAGTTTTAGAGCATTTGAAACAGCAATGGTGTATCTGTGTGCAACCATGTGGCATGAAACCTACGATGAAATGATGAACATCATTATCTCAATATTCAGGTGAGTTTTTGTTGCAGTGATCATCCTCCAACTCCTCTAATTCCATTTCTGTTGTTCACCATTTTTTCTTTGATCAAATATAGTTGTGAACATTTGTTCTGCTTGAGATGGCATGCATTCAGTTTTTTGCTTTACACTTCAATATATTCTTTAGCATGATTTGTAAAAAGAAAATGTGAGCCTTGCAATTTAGTTAAAGAAATACTACCTGAAGTGAAGAGAATAAGAAAAACAAAGTTACGTAATTTTATTTTCCAAGAATTTGTGTCCTTGGCCCAGACAGTTTTAGTAAAGCACTCTTGATAACAACATTTACTTTATCACAGTGGATTTAATCAAATTTCCTTTTCATGTTTCTCTGAACACTGCAGACTGGACAAGTACAGACCAAAGATAGGGTCGAAATACAATGATTTCACTTTCGAAGCCCATGTCTACTTTGATGACGCATTCCTGGATGTTGAAGGGAGTCGGGGGCGTCACCTAAACCAATACGCAGAGACCCTTGTGGGAGTCCTCGCAGAAGTTTATGGGTAAGAACCGTGTTTACAGATAGTCTAAAGTTGCGGTGCATTTTAGTGTTAAGTATCACAAATTAGTCTCTCTCATTGTCTGTCTTCAGCATCTTCACAAACATTGATGAGAAGTTCTTCAGAAAGACGCAGCAGATCCCTGATCAGAAGATTGTAAGGACACCGTATGGAGGTCGCCTGGTGCTCACCATGCCTCATGGTAACACCATCACGGTTCACTTTAAGGACAAAGAACTCATCCGTCACAAGAAAAGATGGTCTCAGGTAGGAAAATAATGACTTGTAGTTCCCAGAAGGTACATTTACATGTACAGTTTTCAGTTCATGTGGGTCACACTGAAATTTTTTTTATTTTATGCCCAACAATGCTTAAAAACCCACAATGTGGTAAATATTAGTTTTGTTCATTCCTATTTCTATTTTCCAGATCATGTACCTCTACTATCTTCTTGGCTATAAACTTATGACCAAATATTACGAGCGCTGGCAGAAGGGAGAGAATGAGGCTGAGCTGAAAGCAGAGATCCAGGTGAGATAAGAGAAACATCTAAAACTTTTGTAGATTTGTTTTGATGAGCTCAAACACGCATCCACAGTATTTCTAAATGAAACTTAAATGTAACTCACAAAAAACTGTGGCCACTCTTACAGAAAGAGAAGCACAACACCTACCTCCTGGCTTTAGATGGTGACACAGATTTCCAGCCGGCTGCTGTGATGCTGCTCATTGATCGTTTGAAACTGTACCCACGTGTCGGGGCAGCGTGTGGCAGGATTCATCCCACTGGATCAGGTTGGTCAAACACTCTAGAAGGAGAGGGATCATTAATAACCAGACCAATCAGCAAACATTTGAAAGAATTTGAGGACCTGAAATGTATTTATGCCAAAAATTGATCTTGGTCGATAGTTGGTGTTAGACGATTAAATGCCGGGATGCTATTGTCAACTGCATGTTAGAGGGTTTTATGTTGTTTGGTTTTAAAAGGCAACTACAAAATGTACTTGACAGTGTAAAGTTAAAGGAGCTCTATACAATATTCAGAGCACTCATTCAGCAGTAAACCATTATATGCTATGTAAAGATATAGGGAGTAAGGATGCCCTGAGCAGAGAATGAAGTCACGCTACCTTTGTTTTTGTTGTAATCTGAGCTTCTCTGTTCTTTGTTATCAATCAGTCTTTGTCACATGGAATTATACAATTTACAACTCCAGTGAAATGAGATTCCGTCAGCTCCTTTAACTTGTGCACTGTAATTTAGTTATTTTTTTGCATCTTCTGGCATTGTAGGTTGATGCCTTATATTTGTCCATGTTTTTGGATGGTTCTGGTAATCCATGGTTTCTGGCTTTGGCATAATTTAACTGTTCAAACCTTGACCTGGCTAGCTAGCATTTAGCTAGCTAGAAGTCAGAGGAAGGAGAATTTACAGACAGGTGAGTTGATTTCCGATGAGTGACTTGACCCCCACGGTCCAAGCCAACCACAAAGAGCACCATCAAGACATGCAAAATACTATAGAAATATGAGCCTAAATTTAGCACATATTTAGCAGGGCTGACAAGAGAAGCGACTGAAGTGTCTACGCCTACTAATGCCTATAGACATATGTGTGGTAGATGGTCGGACTGGACTGCACATGTATGTTAGTGCCTGTAAGTCCCTGTGTGTGTATCCCACAAGCTAGCTCATTGCAGGTGTTCTGCACTGCACTGATTTGGCTGTAACCACTGATAACGGGATGGTGGAATTGTGGAATTCCCAGCCCTGGTTAACACTGATTATGTTCTTAGCATCATTAACTGCTAGCTGCCGGCTCAGCCACGTCCATGTTGAGAGCCATATGCAAACAACCTCTAAATCATAGACCCACTCTGAATATTGTTTACAGCTCCTTTAAAGTAAGAGATGTCCAAAGCTAATTCATGTATTACAATGCCAGACCATGCCACGTGCATCCATGTGTTGCCCCTTTTTGCCAATAAACTGCTGTTATTTGGCTTATGACCAATCTGTCCACAAAGTGATGGGTAGGTATCGCAGCTTTTTTAGCGGTTTTTTTTTTTTTTTTTTTTTGNCATGAACACTTCCTTCTAAAATTCACCACTGATTCTGAGAAAGAAACTGAACAGCACTGACCAGACATTTGTGTCAAGGTTTACAATACCTCTGTATTTCTTCTGCAGGTCCCGCAGTTTGGTTCCAGAAGTTTGAGTATGCTGTCAGTCATTGGCTGCAAAAGACAGCAGAGCACGTCATTGGCTGTGTGCTGTGCAGCCCCGGGTGCTTCAGTCTGTTCAGAGCGGAGGCACTGATGGACGACAACGTGATGAAGAGATACTCCACTACGTCCATTGAGGCGAGCCACTACATCCAGTATGATCAAGGTAACATGCTTATAGGACTCCTTGTCTCGTTCTTGGTCTTAGTGATATCTTTGAAAGTTGGCATCCCTCTCCTCCTCTCACAAATAAATATATTTTCTGTTTCCTGCAGGTGAGGACCGCTGGCTGTGTACTTTGCTGCTGAAGCAAGGATGGAGGGTGGAGTACAACGCAGCATCTGATGCTTACACCAACGCACCTGAGAACTTCAAAGAACTCTACAACCAGGTGAGAGCTGGAGCTTATCAACCCCTTTCCAACAATATTATGATGGCTGTGAAATACTCACAACGAGGGCAAAATCTGAGCCAAAAAGCAAACCAATTCAACTAAAGATTATTTGCAATTTTCAGCGTCGGCGATGGGGACCGTCCACAATGGCCAACGTGGTTGATCTGCTGGGTGCCACCAAGATAATTTCCAAGAGAAACCCGTCAATGTCCAAACCCTTCATGTTGTACCAGCTCTTTGCCATCACGTCAGCCGTCCTGGCCCCAGCCACAATCTGCCTTTTGATCGCAGGTTAGTGTTCTGTGTTTGGGGACATAACCTCTGTCCATGCAACCTTTCTTTGAAGTCAACTGGAATTCACTGGGCATGTGATTATCTCAAGAATGTTTTGATTAAATAAATGTAAAAATAAAATATGTGCTTCCTGTTGTGGCCTCCAGGTAGTTTGACCTTCGTTCTTGACGTCCATGCTGCCAGTGCCCTGGTCATGGCTGTGATACCTCCTCTCATCTACTTGGGTCTTTGCTTCAAACTCAAGTCAGACACTCAGATCACTATTGCAGCAGTCATGAGTGTCATATATTCATTCCTCATGTTGGTGGTGACAATGTCCATTATTGGTAAGTTATATTCAAGTTGGTGTAACTGGCAAACACTTGAAGCTTTATGTGCAGTTCTTCAGTATTTATGGACTTCCTGTTAGTAGAACTTCTTAAAGCTGCTTTAATCCTAAAACTGCTTTGTACCTTCATCTCTCTTTAGGTGCAATGGTGAAGGACAAAACCATCCTGACACCCAGCAGCATTTTTGTCGTCGCCATGGCCATCATTTACATCATCACTGCTCTAATGCATCCTCAGGAAATTCAGCTGGTATTCTACGGCTTACTCTACATCCTCTGCGTCCCCAGTGCCTACCTCTTGCTTACCATTTACTCCATGGTCAACATGAACAACGTGTCTTGGGGTACACGGGAAGCAAAACCTGCCCCTGGAGCTGCTGCACCAGTGCCGGCTGCCACGCAAACAAAAACAGGGAAAGGTATATATCCAGTTGATGCTAAAAAAATAAGTGATTTTTTTAAATACCAACTACAGTGTTACGCTAGATCTGTCATATTGTTTGTGCTGACTGCACTGAAACAGTTCTTCATTCTTGCAGCCAAAAACTTCTTCCAGCAGCTCATCTCATGTATGAAATGCTGCAAAAAATCCAACCAGACATCTGGAGGCGGGCAGCCGGTTTTCAGCCAGGAGAACCTGATCCCAGAGCCCGGACAGCCTGAACCTCAGCCCCAAAACACTTTTGTAGGGATCCCAGAGGAAGAACAGAGGTAAGTCTAGAAGGCGGAACATCAATTAGAATGCAAGTGCCCTTATTACAAAGTGTGAGATGATTCTGATCACTTTTGTGATTGTGTTTTAGGCAAGCAGAGCCTGAACCTTTTAACTCTCCTATCCAATGTAAGTCCGAACTATTTTGCACAAGTCTGCATCTTTTTTTCTTTTTTTTGTGGGGGGACACAGATGTGATGTTATCTAATACCTTCCTGTCTTGCTCATCTCTCCAGGTTGGGTCACACAACTACAGAGTGTGTCTACTGACATGCAGCTGGTGGAGGACTCACTCATCCAGGTGTGTATGTCTTGTTTAATCAAGGTGGCATGATCATCCCTCTGAATCACACTGTCAAAATGGTGCTGACCATATTCAGTTTCCCAACGCAGGTGAAAACTGGCCTTAACATGAAATTGATGCATTTGCAGTAGATCATTCTTTTGTTATGTGGTGTGTCTAAACACGCACAAATAATACATTGTAAAGGGTTTCTGTGTTTCTCTGCAGGAGGAGGAGCAGTTCTTTAGGGAGCTACAGAAGAAGTACCTGGAACCTCTGCCCAACGACAAAGAGAAACAAAAGAAGATAGCTAGTGACCTGAAAGAGCTGAGAAACAAGGTAGGTGTGAGGAGCTGAACCATACCTGACAGAAAACTGCTGTGCAATCAATCTGGCATTAATCTTATTTTTCTCATTACACACAGATAAATTTTGCATTCTTCATCATCAATGCCCTGTGGCTGGTGGCGACATTTACCCTCCAAGTCTTCGAGGAGGACTTCGCCATCAAGATCCCTAAGGTCGACCTCAACCTCCAGCCCACAGGAGAAGACATACAAATCGATCCCATTGCCTTGATGTTCATTCTAGGATTTGCGACATCGGTTATAATCCAGTTCCTTGCAATGTTCTACCACAGGTGACCACTTGTATTAAATGTCTTTGTTTCTCTGCAACAGGGTTTTGATTTGAATGATGTTCATGTATCTGTTATGTTTTCTGTTTGAATGATATCTCACATTCTTGTTCTGCTTTCATCCAGAATGTACACTCTGATCCATTATGTGGCTTTTCTGGACACAGAACGTAAAGACCCAAAACCTGAAAAGCAGGAAGAGTACATTTCAGGCAAAAAGGTATGTATAGCTTACGTACAGCTAATGTTGTTGCATCTACTGCAACTCAGGCTTCTGCTTTTATCAAGGTTATCATAGTTAAGTAAAACTAAACTAAAAGTAGGTGAGAATTTTTTTTTTGTTAACCGAAATAAAAACAAAAATGGTTTTGTGTACTTGCAAAACCAACCGAAATAAAATAAAAACATAGATAATTTTTTTTTTAGCTTTAGTCTTTGTCATAATGGTAAAATTTGTCAACACAGCAATCACAAACATGACAGAGTTACTGAAAGGGCCTACTGCACCCAGGCCCAGGGGCCCAAAGTGTAAGGGAGGCACTCTGGCTCTCACCTGCACAATGTCTTTCAAATTAACACACACTGACCAGGAAGAGACTCAAAATGACCACAGATACAAAATAACTATAAGTACAGGGAAAACAACCATGAAGAGACACAAAACAACAAAAAAGATGCATTATGCCTATGCAAAACAAAACAAAAAAGGGCTAAAAAAAAAAAAGCCTTCTAAAATCTTACCCACAATAAATACCCACTATGTAACAATAATAATAATAATAATAATGAACTAAAACTAATACTGAAACTACTAAAAACTCAACCAAAACTTAACATGTTTAAACAATAAAAATTAATCTGAAATGAGCAAACCCACTCTGGAAACTAATTAAAACAAAACTGAATTGAAAACAAAATAAAAAAAAAACGAACAAGAAAATAAAAACAGATAAATAGAGTTAGAACTAACAATACTTTGTCTAAGCACAAAAGTTGGTGAGGAAACTTGGAGATGAAGCTTGGTGAGGTTGTACACAGTATTGTAAACAACATTTTAACACCATGATGTGTCTAATAGCACTCATTGTTTGTCTAATTGATACCTATTTCCATAAAGGGCATCATGAGTACGATCGCTATGCAAGATGCCAATAACAGAAAAGAACGTTTAATTGCCTTACAAATAGATTCCTTTAATTATTAATGCCAGCCGAGACTGAATGTACTGACATGAGTCCAACTGCACCCTCCTGCTGCTGCGGTTAGAGATACTTTATAGTGACCTGCCAGAAGTGCTCCAGGTGTGGTGGCATTTATGTGAATAGATGTTCCTTTCATCTCTTCCCAGGTCAACTCTGTCTCCAGCACCGACTCCAACCCTGATGAGAATTCTGAGTCTGAGGAAAGTGATGATGAAATTTACTCCAGAGATCCTAATGAAGGGACCATGGTGTAAACGCAGACTCTGTGCACGAGCACTCCTTAGCACTTTTAAATTTCCACTGTATGTGAGATTTTACAAAAAATGTCTTTATAATGTGCAGTATATTATTTATGATTACATCTAGTTAAGTGCAATTTATTTATAAAAGAAATGTAGTGATTGAATTTGTCACAAAGTGGTTTGTAGAAAAAAAATGCATAATTTAATGAAATAGCGTGAGAAAAAGAATTCAGGAACAAAACAAGAACACAACCTCTAAAAACTGTTTGTGTGTGGGAGTATGTGTGTTGTGTGCAAATGAAAGCATCAGACAACATCAGGTCAGTAAATGTAACACTGTTATTGAAGTTTTATTAGTTTTATGTTAGCTTGCTGCCTCTGTGTTAATTGCACTGTAATGTGAAGAGGAATGAATGAAGTTTAGACCCAGTATGGGCAACGTGAAGAGGAACAGAACTGTCTGTGTCCACTGTTACAAAATAATGAAGTTCTTTTTATGGTGAACAAACTCAGGGAAATGATCACTTTTACTCTGAAAATCAGGGAGTTTTAAATCAGGGAATATTTCTTAGAAATGCCAAAGAGATTACCTGATCATCTGTTTTAGAGCCAAAAATCCTGAGCTGTATGATCAGGACAGCACACAGTATAACATTTATTTATTTATTTTTGCTGTGGTCACTGGTCGTTACCTTTATCAAGTATATTTGCACATGGTCTGTATGTTTTACACTGTGTTTAAAACACTGTGAATCCCAAACCTTTGAATAAAAATTTAGAAATTTAGCTTTTACTTTTTTATTGGAATTTTATTGCACTAAAATAGTAATAAGCCTCCAGGCAGTCATAAAGTAAAAAGAAAAGAAATTGTGTGGGTTTTTTGTATGTGTGTGTGTGTCAGTTGCATGTAATTCTGGTTAAAATGTCTGGATGGTGACAAAAAAAACTCCTCTTGAAGTTGCTCTCTAATGGTTTAAAATATAAAAAAGCTGCTGGTGATGTGATGTGTATCAGAGGAGGCACATCGCCACCAAAACTGTAACAAACTTTATCCAGTATCAGGTCATGATCTTTGTTTGTATTTATTTTTGAATGAAGTAGAAAAAAGTTTACTTACTAAAATAAATTTATATTCAGTGCTGTATAATTTCACCTTTTTGTACAATGAAATGAGTTGAATGTTAGAGGCTGTTTTATTTCAGTTGTATTTTGTTCTTGTTCTTGAATAAAGCACTGATGAAAGTTTTTTTTATCTGATGGCTCTTTAAATGTGAATATTTTTAGGCAACTTGGCTGTTATTATTCTACAAGTGTTGTTTCTGCAACTAAATATTTCATATTTTACACATGAAAGAGAAAAGACAGAGCAATAAGTTATTTGTTATATGTTTAAAGCTCTAATGCACTCTGTTCCTCTCACTTGGAATAACCTTCAGAAAGAGTTGACACTATGTGAATTGGTCTCTCTGCCTGATTTTAAAGCTCTCATAACAGCAAGGATGAATAAATCGTCAGTTCTTGTCATTTTGCGTAGGTGTTCCAATATTTCTTACTGTGTAGCTTTCGTTTTTTATCATGTTTTGGCTGTAACTTGTTTGTATGCTGCTGTCTTGGTCAGGTCTCCCTTGGAAAAAGGGGATTGTTGATTTCAGCGGGACTTACCTGGTTAAAAATGGGCTAAATTAAAAAAAAAAAAAAAAAAAAAGCTGTAGAAACACTGGAAAAACATATATTTTTGTTCTTTTTTTATTGTGAAAATGTGTCATTTTACAATAAGACTGTCTCTTAAACTACAGTGCTTCAGTCCTTCCAGTCTCTTTGCTCTCACCATCTTTATGTAAATACCTCTGGCTGTATGACTTGTAGGACTGGAATAAGATTAGATGATTATATAAGAAATGATGTGACTTCCCACTTCACTTCAGTCCAGCCACCTCAGGGTGAATATTATCTTTAATCACTCTAAAAGAACAAAAAAATTCCAGTTAAAGGTCAACAATAACAGGTGGAGCTGCCGTGCTGTATGACTGTGTAGGACTACGCCTAGAAATACTTGTGTAGTCATAATTTAGCACATCGCTATTAAAATGAATGATGCATTTAGTTTTGTTGTACTGCACATACACACCCATCTGTACTTGTCTGAACATGCTTTACAATGTGAATTTAGAAAGAGTTTATTTACAAAATGTATGACAAAAATAAAGGTTATTATTTCAAACCTAGAAGTCATGTAGTGAAAAGGCAGAAAACATTTTATATATTCTGTTTATTTTTACATTTTAGAGAAGTAATCAAATGTAAGATTTAGTAAAATAGTGAAAGATAAACAGATTAAATGCAGTAGGATGGAGTGCAAACAGTTGGACTGCACGGTTTCTGGTCATGTAGTCTCGCCACCAGACAATCAGAGATCTCCGCCTTCTGATAGTCTGGGGACACTCCTTTCTAAAGTGTGTTTAAAACACCGGCGAAAACGGCCGGCAACAAAGCAACGCCTCTTGCATTTTTGAAAAGGACACGCCTTCTCGGAAATGTGCGCTCCTCCTTTTCTTGTCCACAAGGAAAAAAACACACAGAGAGCTTGAAAATGGATGCCGAGAGATTTAACTCTGTTTTATCAAACGTGTGCTCATCCGTGAAGAAAATATTTTTTCCAGCGGATGTCTTAGTTACAACATGATTGAGCTAACTGGAGTAGTTTCATGTCGTATCCGACAACAGGAGGCTTTTAACAGATGACGTCCTGTTACCTTTGCTGCTAGTGTTAGCTGTCCCTGTCAGCTGCAGCCACTGATGCGTTCTAGACATCGTGATTTCCCAAAACTGAATAAATACCACACATAGCAACACAAAACTGCTTTGCTAGCTCAATCATGTTGTAACTAAGATATCCACTGGAAAAAATATTTTTTTCACGGACCGTTTAATGAGTTATTACCTATTACAGACACCGCTAACGGCTAAGAAATAGTAATGTTTGTTCAATCATTGTGTTACATATATACATATATATATATATATATATGTAAAAGCTCTGCTGGTTTTCTACCCAGAAGTATTTGTAAACAACAAGGCGATTTCCTCTATAGTCCGGCCAGACAAATGAGTCATGGCCTTGTTTCTTTTAGTTGGCGAGAATGTGTCGCCGCAAACGTGACAAACATCCACTAACTTTGACGGCGTTTTCCGCCAGCACGGCTGAGCCATTTTGTACCGCTACACGTGTTTCTAGTGGGACTATGTTTACGAGCACAAGAGTTCAGCGAGCCACCGAAGGACCGCCCTGCAGATTTACTATTGGTTCTGCAACGTAGGGAGTTTTTTTAAACTCTGAAATTGTATCTGCCCATCTAAACACAAAATCAGGGAGAAAGTCTTCAGTCTTTAGTTAAGCAAAGCATCTAAAGACTGACTTGTGAGTCTATTGGTCATGTAAAGTATATATACAAACATTTATAGTTTAGCATTTTGTTTTGCAAGATACAAAAATTAGGCATTCGATTTTAATCTTTAGAATCAAAATTAAAGGGGACCTATTATCCTTTTCCTTTTTTTCTGTCATAATTTTACAATGTCAGATGTTCATATTAAACATAGCAAAAGTTTCAAATAATAAGGTTAATGTGTGTAAACTAATCCCTGTGAGCAAAAACCTCAGGTTCCAGACCACTCTGAATACTCTGTTTCCTATGTCCATCAAGTTGAGGTCAGCACATGAAGGATTTCTTTATATGGTCATCTGCTCCAGGCACGCTACTGCAAGTGTTTACATTACTTACACTGCTTCAAGTAGCTACTTGCTAACGTCAGGGAAACATGTAATCTTGGCTGCTGATGTTGCTCATTTTGCCCTGATTTTGGATTATATTCCTGCTGGAACATGTCCAGTTGTGTTTAGAAGCTTTTGATGTGGATATTTTACACTAAAAAGTGCTGCGTTACTCCCTTACACCGGAATTCCACTGGATGCGTGTCTGTTGCGGAACGGCAGCGCTGGTTATCCGCTGCGTGCTCTGCTGTCCGTCAATACCTACCGGCTGCATTTGCTGTGCGGAGCGGTGCAACTCCGCTGGAAGACATCTCGGTGCACTACTGTGATTAATATCTCCTCGTGTGACGTCTGAAAACCTCTGACCTGTTGACATCAGGCCTGCCTCTAGCCATTATGTAGTTTTCAAGGTGTAGCGCAGGGAAATATGATCTGCCGTGAACACTGTGTATTCTATTTTGAAAATTAACCAGATGTTTGATTTTGTTTCTGTGCACGACTTCCTGCCCCGCACGATCTGCTCTGTGCTAAATTGCTGCGCTGTGCTCCAGTGTCCGGCAAAAATAGAAGTCCTGCGTATCTGTTGCGGAAGGCTCTGAAGTGCCGGAGCTGAGACGGAGCCGGAACGCAGCACAGCCGCAGCCGGTGGAAACACACACATTGACTAGAAGTGAATCCTATTGGCTCCGCTGCCGTGCCGGAGCGGAGACGCAACCGACACGCATCTGGTGGAAATAGGCCGTTACAGTCATTCCCTGGCTGCAAGTACACAGCCAGCGTACATGTAGCTGCATGCTAATGTCAGTTAAAGATTTTATTGGTGATTTTTCACAGCAGAAAGTGACACTATACTCAGTTACAGTAATTCCCCAGCTGCAATGACAGTGCAGAAACACAGAGATATGGAAGAGCTGGACACTCTGGCCAATCAGAGTAGACTTGAGCTTTTCCAGGGGAAGGCCTGAAAGAGACAGGTGCTAAAATGGAGTGTCTCAGACAGAGGGTGAATACAGGTGTTCCAGCACAAACAGTATGAGGAAAGTAAATTGTTTTTTGACCATTAAAGCATGTGAACATGTTCTTGTACAAACCCAAAATACAAATATGAAGCTGGAAATGAGCCTAATAGGTCACTTTTTATTATTTTCTGTAAATGGCTCAACACACAACAAAAGATGATAAAATTTAAAGCATGAGATCTTTAACATCAATGAAAAAACTAAAGCTAATATTAATAAAACTAATAACATAAAGTGCTAGAAAGTTAATTTGTTGTAATTTTTACCTTTGCACCAATCTGGTTTTTGCACTAGCAGGCCTGGACATGCACGGTTCTCCTCATGATGGTTGGTAGTTATGAAAGTAAAGTGCTGGCAGAGAGTTTTGATCTTTTCACAGTTCCACTTTCACTTTTACATAAGTTCATAAAGGGTTAAAAAGCTGTAATTAAGGGCTTTATCTGTGGTAAATAAAATCCCTTATTCTGCTGTTGAGATCTGTTTCAAGCCTTGTATTATAAGGACACACCATCTGGCTAGTGCGTCCTCCCCCAGAATAACTTGCTTCGTTTTTTCTATTAATTTAATTAATAAGTGGACAATTTTACTAAAATCCATTTTTTAAAAAACACAACATTTATAACTACTTACTTTGTGGATTTTTGGTTTCAGAAGTAACTCATAAACTACATCTCACCTATGTTAAATTAAGCACTGTAAGGACCTTGACCTTTTGGGGTTTACTATCAAACACTTGAGTGAGTTCCTGAAATACCTGGAATCCTGTTTGGTGTGTTTGTTTTTGAGCTGAAAGGTCAAACCCTCATTATTGACGCATAAAGCGTAGGAGTTTAAGATTGAGCACCTGATATATTGTTTAGAGGACTAAATGTTGAGGAAGAAGCACATCCAGTAAATGCAATTCACATTAACTTCATTTGGCTCCTAAATAATCATGTGAATGGATCAGATTTGCTTAAATCAAAATAAATAAATAAAAGAGCAACTTATTTACTAAGCTTGTGTCCAAACCCCAACAAATTTGCACTTAAACCTGCAAGAACTGATCTTCTTTTTTGGCAACTTCACCTTGGAGTTGTGTTTCTGGGCACATGCAGTATGTCCAATTTTCATACTCATTTAATCTGTTCTTGGTCCCTCCATAGGGAGTCTTCTTAGCTGCTAAATACTCCCCTGTGTTCACCAGCTAGTCTCTAACTATGTCTGTCTGCTGTTTGGTGCTGAGCATGGTAGTAAATGCACCTGCACTTCTACAGTGCCCTTCTGATCTTTTGACCACTCAAAGTGCTTTGCACTTAATGTCACATTCCCCCATACTCACACTGGTTTGGCCGAGGCTATCGTGCAGGGCACCACGTGCTACTCAGCGTAAACATTCATACAAACTCACAC